AACATGCTTTCATCCATCATCCAGTTCAAATCTCCTGCCAGTGCATGCCAAATCTCTTTATTTTTCATCACTGTTTAAGGCAGCTTTTTTTTCAGAGCTTACTGCTGGTTAAAGTGAAGAGTTTGGTTTGCCCAAACGTTTCTTAAATCACAGAAGTCAGGATATCAGGAAATCCAATCTGGACTAAATGCCTCAGTGGAATATCCATTAGGCCTGTGGAGGGGTGTGGTTCTGTGTTGCCTATTTTTGGCTCTCTCCCTCCCTCCATCAGAGGGAGCAAATGGAGTGTAATCCATGATAACGTGGATGCAGGGGCTTTTGGCCTGGATGAAAGCAATTCCACCCAGTCCCAGAAATCAGCCCCTCTAAAACCTGATTTTACTTGGATGGTCTCCAACTTTGACCAATTCTAAAATCCCAAGAGGTAGATAAACATGTATTTCCAGATTTTTTTTAATAACGTATCAATTTACATGGGATTTTGGGAGAGGATTTACAGCAGTTTATTTTGTTGGGTGGGTTACAAAATCCATGCGAAAATACATATTTTCCACATTTATTCCTTAAATCTACGGCGGAACATTTTCTGTGCGTCAAAGTTTTATGCAAAGTTTAAGACTGCTTGAATTGCAAAAACGATCAGTCCAATGTTGATGCAGATTATTGTTATTATTGTATAAGGGTATCACTTTCGTAAGACACATGATCAGAGTTTAGATGTGAAACAGAGGGCATGCATTCTCTGTTGCCAGGTAACTCGCATATCTCTGTTGGAACAAGTTGTAATACCAGCTTTCTGGTAATACAGTACTGTAGCTTATTTAATTTCCAACCTTATGAAGAACTTTTATTAGACATGTTGACTGAGAAGTTTCAAAGCATTTATCTCGTTTATGACCATGTTATAGAAGATCATGAAAAGCTTTGTTTTTGGTCTAGTTTTCTGTAAGTGGATTAAAAATGAGTGCACTGTAAACAAATGTTATCTATAAATATGAGGCAATTTTTTAAACTCCAGTGATGCTAGTGATCTGAACTTTGTGAGTTGGGTTAAAATTAATGTATTGTTCTTCCACTTAAGTGCAGCAAGTGGAGGTCCAGATGGCATCAACATATGGATTTTGCTCTGCCAGCATTCAGATTGTGTATGGAGCCAGCCATCAACACTTACTTGTGCTGGATTTGACTCTGACTCCCTTAAACTGCTCTGCTAATGTTTACAGCAAACAGATCAGACAGAGTCAGTGTCACTTCTGTGAAGCTGCACTCTTTTGGCATGTTTGCTGCTATGGCGAGAACCTATGATCATTATTGGAAGAGTGGTGTTGATCATCAACTATGAGGGATATCAGCCCAAATAAGGCATAATTAGCCCAACTGATGACTCGTAAAGTGTAACACTAATAGAGATTCCCATAGGGACCCATATATGTATTTATACAGAGTTCAGTGACTCTATCTGCAGGTTTTATAGTTACACCAGTAGGAGGCGACAAGTGACTTTCATTTAATGAGTCATTTGAATCATTTACTCAACCAATTCATTAAACAACTCTGATTTATACAGGAACAAAACCAGTACGTAATTGAATTATTGCTTCAACTGATTTGTTTAAAATAAATAAAATAAAAAATACAAACGAAACACCACTGTGTTGTATAGTGTATACTAGCACACTGTGGTTACATTTACCATTGCTTCGTGAAATTTCGGGGGCAAAATCCAGTCATTTCAATAGGAATCCGCGTGATTGGGAGTTTCGCATGAAGGTGCATGTCCACTGGCACGGAGCGAACTGGTCAGAGTGAGCGTTTTCAATCCATTCCTATGAGCTTCACGCTCACACAATGGATTGTGGGATTGACAGTGTGTGTGTCCACTGGTGTGGAGTAGAGTGAGTGTTTTCAATTCATTCCAATGTTAATTGAGCTTCATGCTTATGCAATGAATTGTGGGATTAATTGAATACGCTCATTCTGTCGTTCTGTAACAGGTTTGAATATCTTGAGAGTATGATTTTTGCATGAAAAGTGCATAGCTAAAATTAAATGTATGTCACTTTGGTCTCTGACCTCAAAAGAGATGTGGATAGTTTATCTGTATGCAGAAACAGAAATAAATTAATGTACATGAACCAAAGCTAAAGTGAGTCAGAAAAAGTAACCTTGTCTTGATATTACCAGCAAATCGTGGTCAAGCCAAGGAGAGACAAAACAGTGATTATCCAAAATAGCAAACTCAAATCAATGTCAGATCTGTGTTATGTTTCATAAGCAGCTTCTTGTACATTTGTTCTATACAGCGGATGATACGCCACCTTGTCTGCTTAAGCATTCAATTATTTTATTAGTCCCTGCAGAGAAATTTGCCTTGGCAAAACAAGGTTTCTGTTACAAATACTTTATATAATAACTTAACCTATAACGGTGTCAGGCAAAATGTTTACATATTTACTTTCTGTACTTGTACTTTCCCAGTGGCATCAGCTTTTTACAAGGGATGTGATCAGAACCAGACACAGTTTTCATAACCTGCCAGGAAACCTTGCTTAGAATTTGAGCATTTAGTTTTACTGATAAATTGCTACACATACTAGCACTATTTTATTTTGAACATCACCACAGACCCCCGTCCTGGCAGTTCCTGGACCGCTAACATCAGCGTAATGTTACTCCACGAAGTCCATTAACTTAATAAATTCTCAAACTACACATAAGCGTTTATTTCATTAACACGCATACTCAACATAACTACCATTTTGACTACATTAAACTAGCTGAGCCTTCAGAGAATTTAGTAGTTAGTACTTCAGTAGCTGTTTTTTTTTTTTTTTAACAGTCATCAGTATATAAAGTTAAGTAAAATAAGCCTTGTGGACCTCATACACTTATTATATGCTGTTTGGAAAACATAACTTTGACTAGTCATAAATGAAAGAATTCAGAGGGGTTAAATCCACCATCTAAACTCAGCAGACCTTAATGCATCAGAGTGCACAGGGGGTAGTCTTGAGCACGAAAGGTCCTTCAGGAAGTCTTTGTGAATGTTGTGTTGGAGCAGCATTTCCGATGTGAGCACATGAGTGGAAAATGAGCTTTAACTAAGCTTGTAAACATGACCATCTCCTCCATGGCTTTTAATCAGCTTCATGACTGTCCCACTCCAGAGAATTAGACAAGAGATCTTTGTAGCTTAAGTAGTGCTCGCATACAGATGTACTGTACATCAGTAAGTGCATCTGCAGTGCTGTTTTGCGTTCATATCTGTCTACAACATAAATTATTTTACACACAACATAGAGTGAGAGCTGATTGTTTTATGGCTATTATATCATTGTCCATTACAAATGTGTACATAAAAAGGAAACATCCCATGCATCCCAACCACATTGTCTTAAATTTGTGATTCAAAGCACTTGCATAATAACTAATGCACACAGATTCCCGGTGCAAATTATGCTTATGGAACACTGTGGTTATGTTGTTATGCCACTGTAGTAATGCATGCACATGCCTACTATCTCTCTATGATTTATTTGATTAGTTCTGCTAGAACAGTCAGCTTTCACATCATTTACAAATTAACTAAGCTTGTGCATGTACAGAATATCTGTATTCAGAGCAAAAATATTTGTTCAACAGCTAAAATAGAATCTTTTTTTCCCTCCCACACTTACCTGCGACTTTCACTGTCATGTTGCTGAAACTTGAGATATTTCCACTCTTTATTCATGAGCTGTTATAAAAAAAACACGTTTCTTTCATTTCTCCAACAGTTATTCCATTATATTTTCTCTATGCGAGTTCATTGTCACCCAGGTCTAATGCTTTTTGATTTGTTAATTTATCACAGTAAGCAATGTTTTGAAATTTCCCTAAGCCCACTTGTAATAAAGTATATTTGGCAGACAAATATGAAAGGGGAGGGAGCCCCTTTTTAAAATGATGTCAGATACTTGTGAATTACATCAGAATGAATAAATAAGAGGGTCAAGCATTTTCTCTTAAGACTGTGTGAGCTAATGCCAAGAAGAGAAAACACTCAATCTAAGATTAAGAGAGTGCAGAGTCCAAACAGCTTCAGGCACTTTCTTTCTATTCTCCACTTCTCTCCTCTCTGGTGCCTACTTATTTTGCTCACACACTTTACATTCTTATCATATTAACAATTCATTTTATCTTGAGTAATGGGGCAAGCTCTGGCTTTTTCTTGTGAATTTTCCCAAGCACTCATTTCAGGTAGTTTCTCTTTAAAGGGATAGTTCACCCAAAAATAAAAATGAAAACTCTCATGTTGTTCCAAACCTGCGTGACTCAGTTTCTTCTGTGGAACACAAAAGAATATGTTATGAAAAGAGACTCCTTTTTTCCCCATACAGTGAAATTCAGTGGGGTTCACTGTTGTTTTGGACCCCATTGACTTTCACTTTATAGGCAAAAACAGTTCTTCAGAATGTCATCTCTTGTGTTCCACAGAAGAAAGAAGATCCTATAGGTTGAATGATGTGAGGGATTGGTAAATAATGTCAGAAGGTTTATGGTTAAACTAAGCATTCATGACTTTTGAGGCTTTCAAGAATTACACTGAAGTGAGCAGATGGTTGCAGCTGATATTTACTAATTTGTGACGAGGCATCTGGCATTACTAACCTCCACTTACCGATTAATCAATACAAGTGCACTACTAATAATGTAAAAACAGTTATGAAACGACATTCTATGAAAAAATAAAAAATGCAAGCTTTGACCTGTAAAGAATTAAGATTTGGAACCCTGACCTCTCCCAGTGTTTCAGTGTTGGTTTACTGAGCGTGTTAAATAAGGAAATTGCTCTGCTGGCATCTCTTTCGTTTTCTTCCCAATTAATGCGTTTGCTTTTTATTAATTTCCTTTGGACTACTTTACTGCAAACCCAGCAGAAAAAAGAAACACAGTGCTGCTGGGAGTGTGAGGTCACAGAGGAGAGTAAGAAGGAAGGTAGTTAAAGAGACAATTCTCACCGTGTTTCTGCTGCATGGAATGGGGCATGCTGGGAGATGAGGGATTCTCAGCAGTTGCGAGGAACCCCCTGCTTCACCACGTCTCAAACTCTGGAGCAGGAAGTGGGACACCCCTGGACAGTCCAAAAGTTGCCAATGCGAGGCAGAAGTCTCTTTTTTTTTTTTTAACAGTCACAGAACTCAAATGTCGGTGATGCCTTGGGGGAAGCGGAGGACATCCAGAGTTCAACGAGAAGAAAGAAAGCGGAGCAGATTGTGACAGCTCTACAGTGGAACACGAGGATCGGTGGCAGTGAAGCTCGGATTGGCAGGAAAGCTGGCACGCGGCAGAGGGGCTCAGAGCTGAGTGTACATGCTGGCAGATGTTGAAGATGCCTGGCTGGATTGGGGAAGGCTAAGTAGGTGCTGATTCCTGCCGTCTCTTCCTTCTTCCGTCTTACAGGCAGTCAGCGGCCCCACAGAATATCCCGGCGAGCCGGAGCTGTCCCTGGTTGGATGCGTTTGCGAGTGAGTGTGTGGAGGAGGATCGGCATAGCAGAGATCTGAAGCGAGTTGACTGAGTGTGCTCAGCGCTACAGAAGAGGTCCACAGGGCATTGGTGGCACTCTAAGCTGATAGGCCAACAGCGATCTAGCGTGTATTGTTTGGTGTGCGCTTACTTGGTACACTTTCCTTGAATGCTAAAATTAAGGGGCGTGCTTCATTTCTTTTTTTGGTGTGGAGGGGGGGGAACCCTACAGATTAAGTTATCCTAGTAATCCCAGTCTCTCCTTTGCTTTCTCTCTCTCTCTCTCTCTCTCTCTCTCTCTCTGAGGTGAAATCTGAAATCTCATCGAGTCGCATGAACTCTAGACCTTACGATATTCCCATTAATATGGAGCAGCTCTTGGGCTCCGGGCCATCTGCTAGATTAGTCTTTCATATACAGCTGGAACACATTGTTGTATAAACTGAGCTTTTATACAACAAACATTTCAGTGTCCTCTAGCATTACTCCACCTAAGCTCATCTCAGTCCACAGAGCTGGATATTGCTCTTTATAACTCTTCTAGCAATGGAAGCTGATATTACATCACTCCAGATGTCACATTTCTTCACCCCTGCTATTCACGACAAGCATCTTGTCTGCATTGGATTGAAAATTGGAGTGGTTCACTCAAAAATGAAATTGTGTTATCATTTTCTCACCCTCATGTCTTTGAAAGCAGTGTGGTTTTTCTTTCTTCTATGGAACACAAAAATAGTTATTTAAAGCAAAGGTCGTGCTGCTCTTTGCCATTAAATGAATGTGAGTGGTGACCAAAGCTCTCCAGGCAAGATTTTCTGTGAATAATGGCTAATAACCAATTGTATGCCTTAAGAAGATTTGGAATATAGAGAATAAGTCATATGGACCATATTTATAGTACTTTTTTGGTCCTTTATGGAGTTTGACTTCCACTGGTCCCAACCCATTTTCAGTAATTTTATGGAAGAGATCATCTCTAAATATCTTCTTCTGTGTTCCATGAAAGAAAGAAAAAAAAGTTATTTTGTAGCTTTATGATTTATACTTGGCTAGGCATTGCATAATTTAGCAATATAATGTTCTTAATAAAAGTTATAATTAAAAGTAAATTATACCATTTATGTATTTAGCAGATGCTTTTGTCCAACTTACATTGTATTGAAGGTATTTGTTTGATCAGTTTATACATAAGAATTGAACCCATGATCTTGGCCAGCGCCATGATTTACTGTTTGAGCTTCAGGAACATGTCTAAAAAGGCAAAAAAGTATATCTTCATACCGCTTTAATTTATGTCTGATTGATATTGAGAAGAAAATGAATTGGATGGTGCTTGCATGTGACGTCACACATTTACATTATGAGCTTACAAAAATGAAAATACATGTTGTCTCAGACTTTGTGTCCAAACACTTCTAGTGCCTTACAGAAAGTGCTGTCATGCTTTCAGTGAGATATTCTGTATGGCTGCGTGCTAGCAGAGACACACATACATTTAACATTTGAGGTTGAAAGTTCAGAGATGTTTCCAGATGTGCTTAAGGTATCAGAAAGCATGGCTTGTGTCAAAATGTGTTCTGACAGCTGCCTGTATCTCTTACACATCTGATGTTCTGGATATTATTGATGTCCTGATGTTCTACTATATTTTTGTATTTTGTATAAATGTGTGCCTTTAAAAAAAAAATCATTTTGAGAATAATGCATTTTCACTAGACTACGGAGCCCGGGAAGTCACCTGTAGGAGAAAAAAAAAACAATCCGTGGCGACGGTTTTGCAATCCGTCCCCTCAGTTTATAAACCG